TAGCTACAACATGAATCCTATTAGAGCGCATTGTATGAATATTTACGCTCATTGTTCTCAAAACAAAAGAAGCGCTCCTAGCGAATCCCCTTTTTCTACGTTTATCCGTAGGACGAAGAAAATCTAATGGCGTTTCAATGCATTAGGACGGAATTGAATCTCGTAGGAAGAATTTAGAATCAAGAAACAGTAATAGATTTCAAACAATATCTCAACAATTTGCGACTCTTTATAAAATCTAACGGTGCGTATGGAAAGGAGAATAAATTTAGAAGTCATCGTTGACAGAAATATTTCATTTTTTGTTTAAACTCATTCAGAAAAGAGAGGTAAAGCACGGCTTGTGCTTAGTAGGACGGAAATTTGATCAAAAACCCTACATCAGGGCTAGAGTATCTATAGAATCCATCTATAGGATCTATAGAATCCACGCAATTTCAAAAAACCAAAATACACAGCATTACGAAAACAGGTCAGGTTTCGACCAATAGCTGATAGATTTTAATTCTAAACAAGCCAAACGATTGGAAATTTATCTACCAATCTGCTAAAATGAACATTTAGTTAATTTTCAATAGTTCACTATTGAAAAATACCAAATGTCCAACTGTTGCAATGGTGATCAAAATTATCACCGAATGTCTGAAAACAGCGCAGTCCCTAACACAGACTTAAAAATCGAATTCGATGCGGTCCCACTGAACGGTGCTCATTCAATCACCGAAGTGGTGGTGTCCAGTCCAGCAGCAGCAGTAGTAGCAGCAGCAGCAGCAGGAGTAGCAGCAGCAGCAGCAGGAGTGCTTTCAACAACAACAACAACAACGAAAGGCAGCCTGCAAGCAGCGAGCGCAGAGCTCATATGAGCAACCATAGAGAAGGAGGAAGAAGTCCCACCGCTAAGCTAGGATCGGAATCAGCAGCTCGTCGTGCTCAGCTCAGCATTACTCAACCATCACTACAAAACGGTCCTTTTCAGGACCACCATAAATTTGTTAAGAGTATTGTTTGAACATTTCTCGCGTCACTTTTCAAATAGACCAATGTAACATATCCACCATTTTGAGAAAATCGAAGTTGAAGTTCGACAGATTATTATTTAAACTGTTTAGAAACAATACATTTTTCAATACTATTTTTAATGGAGTCAGTGAATAATAACGTTGAAAATTCAGTAGAAACGATAAAATCACAATTTAACTTTGAATGTCATGCTACAACATAGAAAAAAACCACATAGGACGTTTTGACAAGTCGCGTTGTACATCGGACATGTTACATTGGACGATTTTTCTCACTGAGTGTTACATTGGACGTTTTGATCTACATGATACTAGATTACCTTTCACAGATTTCATAGTAGAATACCTAACTTTAGATTGGCCCCGCCTTTAGAAAACGAGCACCAATCATGTTAGGCAGTCCGAATAACCGAATCATTTCAAACTTTACATTGGACAATTTTTGAGCTAAGAGTTTCTTAAATAAATGAAAGTAAATTTAGATGGAAGAGCAATAGTTTGTATCGCTTAACTCGATTTATTTACATTTGTTACATTGGTCTATTTGAAAAGTGACGCGAGATTTGTCAAGGTCATCTGCTTTTAAATTCGGGTAGATGAATCGAAAATACTCAAGTTGAGAGTCCCTTGGATTCTCTTCATCAACTTTTTCTTTGAAATAAATACTACAAATTTGATATGCCTACAAATAAAAACGGAAAGAGTTAAGATAATTGATGATTGATCAATTAAAAGAACTAAATGTTCACATTTGTTCCGTCCACTAGTGGTCCTACGTCAAGCTTCCGTTCGTGCCCCTAGGCACAGACCCTTCTACTTTTTTTGCAGTGGTTCCATCATTAGTTTTAAATTAGGTTTCTGGAGCAGAGAAGAAAGTGAAGATTGCATTTTATGACAACAGGCCGTTGTTTTACCTGTCAGAAAACGGTACTTTAAAGATTGAACAAAATGTTGGTTCATATGTCAACGAATTTGGGGGAGCAAGGGGTATAACGATCATATGGGGTTTAAGCACCTCTTTGTTCTTCAATTTGGAGGACAATCCTAACATAAAATTACCATGCATCATCATGATGTACTTTACAGCGTGTTCGTAGAATGATTGCAAAATAGAATACTGAGACTTTTCTCAAATTAAACGTTTGGTTTCCAATAAGTAGGTGCTTAGTACAACATTAATTGAAAATTAGGGGATTCAGCTATTTCAAAGTCAGAGCAAAAGCTCGTATACAGGTTCTCCACCTATTTAATGTTTTGGTAGTAAACAATATAGTTAAGGTACACCTGTGCAAGTTGAAACAGTACGTGTATCTCTTAGTGGAAGTGAATATACACTGTAATTATTTTTGAGAGGCATTGTGTACTACCGCAAACTATATAAGAAATAATCTCAGTGATTATTTACTTCCGCTAAGAGCTACATCTACCATTTCAACGTCCCCACGCGTTTTTACTTGCCCCGGTGTTTTGCATAAATAACTTTCCGCGTTTCGTATAAGGGACTGTTCATTAACTACGTAGACAATTTGGAACTCTTGCAACCTCTCCCTCCCCGTAGTTAATGAACAGCCCCTTAGTTAGACCAGACCCAAATCACCTTTAACCACTGACTTGCTCCTGCTTACTGCAGGACCAAGCGCCACGCCGTCCGAAGCGGTAATGAGCAGAAACGCGACAGCAGCGCTGTTTTATATCTTTTCAGAACGATGTGCAACCAAGTGGTACTCGATTATGATGACTGGGTTTGGGGAAAAACGCTTATTTCATAAAAACAGTGATAAAATTATCATTTGTACATTATTCAAAAGTTTTATAACGGAAAATTGGAAAAATATTTATTTCAGCAGGTTTGTAATGTAATATCCTATCGATTGGCGTATTTGGATTTTAATTTCATCTATAAATGACAAAGTTACAAGCGTTCAAAACCTAACACTATTTCACCACACATATTTTTTGATTTGCATCCCAGTATAGTCGACAAAGACGTAGTTCTACGTCAAAATTAGTTAGGTAGTTATTTTTCATCTAAGTGATTCCTAATGTTTTTCGTTGTTCTCTAGTTTGAAGTGGTTAAGACAAGGATTCTGATGCATGGTCATTATCTGTATTCCCTGATGTAGCTGTTTTCTATTTCATGCTTTGGGTGCAAATCACCCAATCAGGAGTGTTAAAAATTTAGCCTGAGATTCAAGACCCCTTTGAGCACTGTGGTGTGAAAAGTCCAAAAGTATTTTCTGCCAATTGTCTACTGGTCAATTACCACTAATGATTAGATTTATCAAATACTGTCAGTTCCGATTGAATACAAGCTCCCACACCAATAATGCATGGATGTGGATAAACATTTCATGGTGTAGCCTGGTGACGCAATAATTACAGCACCCAAAACGGGGCACCAAAAGGCTATTTACGTACAATAAAAATCCACATCGAATATTCGCGGTGTGCTGTTGTCGTTGTGGCAAACCACCACCCGTATGGCGTGTTTTGAGGACAGATAAAAATTTTGGTCAACCGCATGGTACGTGATAAAAATGGTAAATGTATGGCCACTTCAAAAACACCCTGTCCCACGCATGATAGTTGATTCTAGGAAAAAGTATGTTGCTTGTAATCACATAAAATGATACCGGGGAAAAGTTACATGCAAAGCATTTTGCTAAACGATTGAATTTTTTTTCCATGCATCTAAACATCAAAAAACATATCAGAATGGTGATGACAAGTGGAGATGCTTGCTAAAAGTTAACATCTTTCTGTAGAGGCGCTCTACGACAAGAGCACTTGTCGAGCTTGTGTAATGGCATCAAGTTTCGGAGAGAAGTACGTCAGACAACAAGATATTTACGTCTCCAGCAGATGGGTGCTCGCTCAACTGCTGAGATGCTGTTGAGAGGCATAAAAAAGGCAGACAACTTTTCGTCAGTTTTCATGACGAATGTTCTACATACTATTAAAGTTGTGGAGCTATCACGTAGGTTTCCACTGCTTTAGTGAAGACTTATTCGTTTTTGCACTTGATATTTTGATCAATTTTTGCACTTTCTGTGAAATCATAACTTATTATTAGATTTTTGTTTGTGCTCTTTTTGGAAAAAATAAATCCCCTTTCGGCACTTAAAATGTTTGAGCAATAAGCAAATAACAACACACATCGATGAACATCTGTTAAACGATATCGGTCTACAAATGGCGTTGTTTTGAACTTGTGCTAAAAGAAACTGGCAAAACCTATACAAACTCTGAAATGACGGCTGATGTAAAAATCAACGCGTTTAATCTTGTATTTCTTTTCACGTAAACTTGCAACTTGCATGATATTTTGCATACATCGGTGAACGGTTGCATACAATACTTGGAATATTTCACTAATTGTCTCATAACTTAACACGATTTATGATGTATGCTTATATGATATATCAAGCTCCATTTATGTGTATCAGATTGAACAAACATTTACGCTACTTTTTCGAACTGTTAAGGTACTCTTCGATCTCCTGGAACTGACCAGAATTTGACATGAGTCATAGCATATCATATGACTTATAGTATAGCATTGGCCTCATCTGGGCATGCTTAGAGTGTCCATCGGCAAGTGGCCATGAGTCAAACAGTATCGGGAACAATTTGGTGCCCTGGGATAGCAATCTAAATAAATCGTGCAACACATCAAACCATAATATTTTACACAGCAAAATATAATTTAGAAATCAAACTTCACTTCCCTTAATGCAGATAATTTTACCGCAATTTATATAAGTAAGATCAACAGCAGCCATAAATCGAATGGAATGGAGACGACTTCTTCGTACAGCACAGGGCACCCCGTCCGGACGGACGCGTCCTAGCCTGAATAGTAAAGGTCAGACCATTAAATAATGAAGAATGAAGGGTAGAAATAAATTGGTGCAACTATCCGATAGTTATGTTGAATAGCATATATTTTTCTCCTGTTTACAATTGCATAAGAATCAATGCTCAACCAAAGCTGGAGAAAAGACCACTGATCAGAGTTGAGATAGAGTTGATCAGTGAGGTGCTCTGCGATGCAACGGACGACGAAAGGCTGGTCACATTGGCCGTAGCGGCGTTCAACTGGTTGATCAGAGTCGTCGAAACACTGCTTCCGGCTGACACGATTTGACTCACGACGGAGTTCAAGGTGGTAATAGCGCTCGTCAGCTGGGTAGTAAGACTGCTTATCTGGGAAGTTACGCTAGAGCTGAGGCTTGTCAGTCCATTGGAAAGAATGTTGCTCACAGCTGATTCAGCACTTTGGATAGCGGTTTGAGCGTTAGATAAAGCCGTTGTCAGCGCCGAGCTAGCAGAGCTAGTAGAACTTGCAGCGGTGGATAGAGCTGTTTTGATTTGGCTGGCTACAGATGATAGTTGGGTCTGCAGGGTGCTCGTCAAGCTCGAAAGCGTACTCGTGACTGAACTGGTCAGTGTAGAAAACAATCCAGGATGGGCAATGGCAACCTACATTGGAATAAGTCAAGTCAGATTTACAAACAAGTTTCTGCTGATAATGTTTTATGTTATACTTACGCCCAACAGGCACAGGCCCAATCCAATAAACAACAAACTTTTCATGTTAAGAGTAGGTATATGTCACTTTACCACGCAACTTGAACTGTACAATGATTCTTCAGATCGTGATATTTATAGTGAATTGAGAGCTGTACAATTGATTGTTTTTCATGAATGATAAAACCGCTATGTGTAGATTAGTTAAATATTTCTTATAATGATCGCTTAGTGAGATAGGTCGTTGACAAATATGCTGAACGATGGTCATTGTTACCGTTCCGCATGAATAAAACCCTTGTATTTAGAACATCCAATAACAACCTAATTCATGGTGCGTTTACACAATCATTTTCAGTCAAAATTTGATTCTGAATGAATGCTTTATTGATCATTCAAAGGATATGTGCGGTAGTGTTACACATTCTAGTCATTAGTGGAGAAGAAAATATCACACGCACACACACATTGTAAATTTTTCCATTTTCTTCCACGGGAATATGTTTTAACTGCCAAACAAGCATCGATGCATACTATTGAATAAACATAATTGTGAGAGTGGACCCTTGAATTGCGTTGTTATTTATCTGAGAAGACGTTCTAAACACAGGGATTCAACTCGTATGGGATGATAACAATGATCTTCATTGAGTCAGTAGTATCAGGTAGATCTCCTTCACTGAGCGGTCCAGATGAAAGAATTTATTTTATCCATTGATACCAGTTTCAGCATTTATAGAAGAACATTTCAATAGGTTCGACCGTGCATACAAATTTGGTGCAATTGAGTAATAGTTTCCACCATCAAATCCATCAGATGTCGCCCCGCCAGTGGTGGTGGATAAACCAATTTTTCGGTATGGAGGTTTTCGAATAATCGTCGATGTCTCTTCAAACCTTGCTTCTACCGGTGAGAAAATTTCTCTTTTGTAGTAGGGACATTATGTAGAAATAATATATCGTACAATTTGCACCATTTTTGATATTTTTAATTAGAAGTGGATTTCGCCATAACATTCTTAAGTCGATATTGCACCAGGCCAATTGAAGGCTGCTCTCCCTCTGGTGGTGAGTACTGTCAGAAGCAGCATGAAGCACATAGTTTGCGATGCATAGTTTTATATAAAAAAAGTTCTTATTACATAGCGCCCACAAAGTCAAATACAACAGGGCGTGAATTTTGCTGCTGAAGTCTTTCTGAACATATATCACATGTTTCACGGTTTAGTAATATCGTTGGTCATATTTAACGGTAAGCGGATTTCATGGATTTTTTTTTTGGTTCTATTTTCGGAAATTATGATGGGAGGAACTGGGTGGGATATTTCAGGAGATTTCCAAGATAATTCTGACTCTGATTATGATCAGAATGCCATACCCACTCAAAGCTAGATAGAGCTGGAATTAGAGCGTAACAGCTTTTGTGAACAATGACTTCTCTCGATGATTTCTAGGAATCCAAAGCATGCTCACGCAAACCAACATAAGCAACAGATAGTGAAACTGTTCCCCTACCCGATGGTAATGTTGATTTGGGTTGGCGAGACTTGACTTTCTAGAAATCATCGAAAGAAGTCATTGTTTACAAAAGCTGTTACGCCCTAATTCCAACTCTATCATGAGAGACTTGTAAATTGAAATAGTATATTTTATACAGAATTATGGAGACAAATTTTACCGGCTTCATTTCAGAATTATAGAGCATTTGAAGAGAATTGTAGAATCAATACGAAGAATTGGAAGAAAATACTTTGGGTCCAAACATTTGCTCTCCTATATGAAAAAAGCGGACCAATTCTTTGTATCATTTTTGGAAAGGTGTAAAATGATGAATAGCAGGAAAGCTTTATGTGGAAACTGCCCTTATATAATTTAATTGTCAGGAACATGGCTTATACACTAGTGGAAGTTAATATAAGGACACTTTAAAATTCATGGCTGCTCCCAAATCTAAGAATCAGAGGAAAAATTCTATATCATGTTTTATGTTATCATGTTGAAGGAGAAAATCACATTTCCATTTATTTCTCCTACGTACAAGTTGCAATTGGTTCTTTCTTAGACTCATATTGTAGCATGATAATGTGGTTTACAAACACCACATTATCATGCTACAATATGAGCCTAAGAAAGAACCAATTGCAACTTGTACGTAGGAGAAATAAATGGAAATGTGATTTTCTCCTTCGGAAATAAATATAAGGACTCCATACACATATGTATGGGAAATTGGTTTTTTTTTATTGGGTATCAAGCTGGAGCTGCGTGACAGCTTAGTTTTCAAGACTTGACCCATTTGAATAAATTTCGCTTTTATTTTTGACAATACAGCAGAAGGACTAGACTATGTTGGCCGCTTGAACACTGGATTCCGTATGTATTGTTTCAAGATAGTTATAGAAAAAATGCTGTGACGTGTGCGCGTAGATCCATCCGCGTAATGAACCGATTGAATAAGTAAATCCGTTTCGAACGAAATATCTAAATTATGTATGTTACGAAAACCGCGCGAATTCCGAAAGCCGTGCGAGACAACCGAAGCGAGAAAAAAGGCTTATTATCATTTAAAGAGTGCCACCAAAATAAATGTGATAGCCTATGTTGGCAAGTTGATTAATTTTGGTTTCCTCCCTAGATATTCTACTTATTTACTACTGAGCTTTGTATCAAATTAGTTAATTTAAAGAACGTATCAATCATTTCAAGATTTCGCGACCGCACCGAACAAATTATATACTACATAAGCTCAAAAGCGTTTGATAAGCTCTACCGAATTGCGTATCACTTCTGCGTAAGCTCCGTAGACGTAGGCGCGTTGAATCCGACAGTCGGCAAAGGTTTAACCTGTACCAACATCGCTTAAGGAACGACCTCGAGTCAGTAAAACCGTTTAGAGCTAAACATCTAAATTACGTAAGATACGAAAATCGCGCAAATTGTGAACGCCACGCGAAACAACCGTAGAGAAAAAAAAAACAACTTTTTATCACTTAAAGAGTGCCACCAAAATAAATGTGATAGCCTCTATTGGCAAGTTGATTAATTTTGGTTTCCTCCCTAAATATTCTACTTATTTTACTGTTGAGCTTTGTTTAAATTTAGTTATTTTACCGCACGTATCAATCATTTCAAGATTTCGCGACCGTACCGAACAAATTCTATACTACAGAAGCTAAAAAAAAAAACTTTTGGTGAGCTCTACCGCATGGCGAATCACTTCTGCGTAAGCTCCGTAGACGTAGGCGCGTTGATTCCGACAGCCGCGAAAAGTTAAACATGCATCAATACCACATAATGAAGGATCAATTTTACGTAGGGTTTAGTTCATAGATTAACATTGACTGCTGTTTACAAATGTAAGTACTTGAACACTAAGAAATAAGTTAACTCAAATGCTTTAACCGCATATATAAGAGATTTCGCGTATTGAGAGAATAATATAGTAATCGAGTACAACAAACTCAGGGGAATACAATGCCTCCGAAAGTTTAAAAGTTATTAATTGTCATACATACCTCTACTTTTACTTATTTCCTAAACTATTCCTCTCCTTGTTAATCTGCTTTATACTATTGGTCTGCTCGCGTTTTCTTTTTAAAGTTCAAGACTAAATAAGAAGATTTATTCTACAACTTTAAAGGTTAGTTGCTTCCCTAACCGGACCCCCCGCATCCTAATTCTTTTGTTAATCTACTTAATGTTATTAGACTTGCTGAAGTACGAAGCCAATTGCGTACCTCGGTTCGAATTTTAACCAAAGAGGAGAAGATTACATTTCATCTCGGGCGGTCATAGCGGAAACATAGTACGCGAAGCCGTGCGACGGTACGTTGGTCTCTCTCTTCCGCTGAGCGTATCTCCCGGGAAATGCTCGACTCCGTCGATGCTTAGCTCTCTAGAAAGCAAATTGGAAGCCTTCCGTCCTGCCGCCTCACCTCCGCACCTCTAATTTCGGCCATACCGCACACGGGTCACTTTTCGTCACTGCACGCCATTTCCGCAGCTTGATCGGCGCCATTCCGAGACCGCCGCCGTCATCAAAGGTCGTCGGAAGGTCGACAGTCGCCATCGCCAGGACCTTGGTAAGGTCACCGGCCGCCATTACCGCTTCATCCGTCGCCATCACCGATTCATCCGTCGCCATCATCGCATCGCATCGAAAAAACCTGCGCAGGTATGTCCGTACTTTTTGGTCATGGCCATGAATAGTTTGCTTTTTGAACCGAGTTTAGTCCAACCCGAATGAATGTTAAGGAATGATGTGGATATAGATTGAAATTTGAAGTTTTTTCGTTGAGTTAATTATTTTTCTGTCACGGTTTTTTAGCGGACTCGCTCGCCATTGAGTTCTTGGGCTCGTCTTTGATTCGCATCAGACACATTCGGTTTAGCTTGGTTCGTTAGGTTTAATGAAAATTGGGACTATAATTTGTATTTTGTATTATTGTAAGTTTTGAATATCATTGAGGAAGGGTTTTTAATCATACCGTTCGGGTGGTCCTTTGAGGATCAGTCTCTAAGTCAGGCAAAGGAAACACGACCGGTGGTCTCTCGTAAAGGGAGTGGCGCTTAAGCTACCGAGTTTCGCTTGAACCTCGAGCATTCTTCGCGGTTACAATATGTGCCTCATACAAGACTGAAGTCCAAGAATAATCTTAAAAGAAACTTAAGTGAAATGCTGGTAATTTTTTGTTTTAAAGATACCTTGCCGACACAATCGTTGTGTTTGTAATTGTTTTTGATGAGGCATGCTTCAATTGTTTCCAATGAAAAGAGATTTTTGAAACTACTAGTCAAACAATAACTGCAAGCTATAATGGGACGATCATGCTGATTGATTATATGTTTCTCCTATTAACAATAGTATCAAGTATCAATGCCATTTACTTTCAAGGAGGATAAACGTGACTTTGCTGTGAGTGCGGTATGAAATGTATTGGTTTGTAATAAAGAAAAATATAGTATTTGAAATTTTTACTGTTGATGACAACAATCCCGAAGGATTGTAGAAGGGGTGACATGCAAAATATCCGCATCCGATGTAATTGTCCCCCTAGACGGCTATG